GAGGGGGGGCTGGCTGCGTGTAATGTTACCCCCTGATACGTACTGGATGATCCCTCTGCACACCCCCAAGTAGATATAAAGAACAGCAAAACGGAGCAATTTTATTACCTGAAGATGCAAACAAATTTAACCCCTCAAGGCAGAGGATACAGTTCAAATGCTCTACGTGGCGCTGAAAACTATAATACGAACAATATTTTTTACTACCAGACCCTTCTCCTCCCTAACCACGAAAGATATCACAAAAATGATAAATTTGTCCTCGTCCGCTACTCTACGGGCGAAAAAAAAAAGCAACAATTGTAAGGGGGGTAATATTAACTATGGTGCGCGCTCGGCTGACTGCAATTTAGCGTGAACCCCCAGGGAGTTAGGTCGATCTAAATCTAAATCTCTGGATCGATCTTAATCTCTGTGAATGCACCCTTAGTAAAGTGGTCGTGATTGTAAACGAAAACATCTAACTCATAATTGCTGATATTTATTTATTTATTTATTTATTTATTTATTTATTTATTTATTTATTTATATTTATTTTCAGTTAGAAGATGACACCCTCATCACCCGGTAAGCTATTTAATGTCTTAATAAAAACCCACCTTATGCATCGATATACCTGTACATACATTTAAGTACATAATATTTTCACATACACTTAGCCACTGCACGTGTGTGTATAATGTATATATATGTGTAATGAGAAAAAATATTAGATGAAAAACATGTACAGTACTACAATCAGCACACCATTTCATATCCAAATAAGGCTATATGTTTATACATGTATAAATGAGTCAAAATATATATCATAACCAACATGTGTCTTGACATGTTATGGCCCATTGTAATATGTACAATTGGTTATTGAAGGGAAAAACAATGTATCAATTATTTCCAACTGTATCAAGTTTTATATTCACATAATGATTTGGAATGCACTATACCAGTAGATGTTGAAGGCTGACAATAAGATAAAATGTAACAGATATAATGTAACAGCTGAATACTCCTAATAGTCCATGAGCCAAATTGAAAAAGGCCTTATTTAAGGATTTGGCTGCACCCCCCGTCAGGCAAAGGTTTTATGATTGATTCTTGTAGTTTAGAACCTGAATTTTTCATTTCTGCTTGTTTCCGGCTTGAAAAAGTGTCCGTCTGTACCGGAAACAAGCAGAATCCAAGATGACCGCCAATAAATGCATGTGTCAACTGTAAATACAAAAATTGATTTTAAAGTTACTTAACAACTTAATATTATCAAAATGTGCACTGATCACAAGTACTTAGGCCTTCTTTGATTTTTCAGGCACTTTACATTTTTCAAGATGGCAACTGAATCCAAGATGGCGGCCATTTTCCTTACTTTCTGTGAAAAAATACAAATACCTGAATTTGAATTTTTTTTATTAACCAAAAATTAGGAATATTTTACATGTTTTGATGTATTTGAATAAGTTGAAGTCTATATTTTTAATTTTTACCAGTTGATTTATCACAAAATTGTACATTTGAACACAGATGGCTCTAATCCAAGATGGCCACCACATAAAATGGGCTTTTTGTTTTGATATGTCAACAAGCCTTTCTTAGTATAAAACATCTCAGACTACTTAATGGAGGATTTATTGCACAGGTCATGGTATGAAATGTATGACTTAACTAGAGGATCAGAGAGGCAATACTGCCTCCGAATATTGTACCACCAGCTGGAGCAAGCGCATTCGTATAGACCCCCACATATACAAAATAAGGAACACAGCCACCAGTCTTGTGCTTGACAAGCTGTAAAAATGCAATCAACAAGAATTTTCAAAATATGCAAAATATATATATATAACTAAAAATGGTACAATCAAAGTTAAGTTCATCGTAAGGTAGGTCAAAGGTCAATTCCAAGGTCACAGTAAATTGCCAGTATATGACTTCCTATTCAACTTCAATAGTAACTATGGGCCTATCTCTGCCAGGTTTGGAGTTAAAAGAGAAAGAAATTAGCAGAGTTCAGTTCATGATAATAAGTAGGTCAAAGGTCAATTTCAAGGTCACACTTAGATTGCCAGTATATGACTTCCTATTCA